TGCTCAATAGTAAGTTGTGTCAAGGAATAATACCGGCCTCGAATATTGCCTACATACAGTGAAGTTTTGTTAATTGTCATAAATATGGTACTTCTCTTTCAAGGTACTCAGTACGATACATTTCTCAAACAAAGTACGATAAATTTTGTCATGCGTTATTCAAAAGTTGCCGTTAAATATTTCTCATATATTTTCAGTATTTTGCAGATTCGATACTACGTTACCTATCACCTTATCTCAATAATTAATATATTTTCGAATGGAAATTACGTGAATTTTTTGAAAGACATACCGTTTAGACCACAATATGTTATGAATTTGGAACTTCCATGGAGCAATAATAGAATAGAATAGAATAGAATAGAATAGAATAGAATAGAATAGAATAGAATAGAATAGAATGGAATAGAATAGAAGTGTCGGCGTTGAAGAAATAGGCCCATGGCCTGTTGCCGATTCTTGAATTTTTCGTGACTTGATTCACAGGGTATCCGGCCTTTGGAACCCGATCTTTCCATAACTGACGATTGATTGAGATAGCTGCTGGACTAATTGCCTGGTCCGTAATTTGCTAGGCATTTTAAGACTGAACATATGCTCCTGCACAGCTTCGTCTGGACTTATTGCCTGGTCCGTAATTTGCTAGGCATTTTAAGACTGAACATATGCTCTAATGCTCATGCATACCTTCGTCTAGTCTGTTTTTGAAGATGTTCATACTCGGAGCGTCAACGATGCTATAGTCTCTACACATGTAAGTAACGATAAAGTTTGTGTTATTTGCATTCCAGGAATAATTCAATTCTTGAATTATCTGCATTTTGCTTGTGAATTCCGGAAGTTATTGAATTACGTTAAATCAATAAATGCGCCGATTTAAAGACTATTCACACAACAGGTTAAAATGGTGTACAGGCTTACTTCTTAATTTAATTCTGACTTGCTAATTTAAATAAAAAAACTCATCATTTGATCCTGTGGCTTGAAGCGCCTTTTGTTCTTTAGTTATACGCCGTGCCACAAATGTAATACATAATTAAACTCGTCTGGCGAAGACGAGACTTTTTTTTGCTTAGCTTACTGCCACAGACGATAAAATGAAATAGCAACCTGGTAATTTAAATGTCCATGATTTAATTAAGTTCTAACTGAGATGAGCAAAAATTACGATAAGAATAACATAATGTTGATGTGTTGAGAAATGTAGCATTGAGATCTATCCACCGTTAATTAAGTAGAATTCCTGCCACAACAATCGATTTCCAAATGTCGAAAGTTAGTAGTAGTTATCATCATGTTTATGTAGACAATAAAGTAAAAATTGAATATAGACAATCACCTTTTACAACCGCCTTTCAGCTATGCTACAACTGCAAATAGCTGCTTCTGTTATTAAAACGATCTCATGTTTTTCAGAGGCTCCCGCAAATCTGAAAAGAAAAAAATCCCATGTTTAGCTGAAAGCTTGTCCACGCGTTGTTTTTCTTGTTTATCAAGTATGGTTGCGGCATGCGGAGGCGGTAGACTGCGGCATGAGAAGTCGCTGGCTTATGTCGTGCCGGAGGACGACTAGGGTTGTACATTTTATTCTATTCTAGCTGCTAACTTGGTTAATGTTATATATGCCTAATTGTAATTATATAGTATATCATAGTATGTTTTATACTATATCCAGGCTTCAGTATAATATAATTATCTTGATTAGGTATCTAATTTTGAAATATATTGACCTCAAACTTTGAGTCTGCCTGATATATATTGGCAATGCAATGAATAGGCTATGCATTATGCAAGCTATATATATACTTGGCTTTACTTGGTATAGAAATTTCAAATTCAGCATTTCAGTTCAGCTCCCTGAACTGCTAAACAAGGGTTTTTTTATTGATGAACCTAATGGGCGATTTGACTATTGACACATTAGCTATTATTGTGAATGTATTACTAATGTAGCCTACTACACTACTTAGTAACATAGAATTCAGACATTATTTAGTGTGATGTGAGACTGCAAGTAGGCTACCTATGAATTGAAAATGATTTCTTTTTAAATGCTTATTTTCTTTGCCTATTATATTATTTTATACTATTTGGTTCTTTAATTGGATTATACATTTTTTTGGTTTTAAATCATTTGATAAACTAAATAATAGTAGCTACTTGTGTTTTGGCTAGCCTGTTAGTGCTAGTGCTAGCCGCTAGGTACCTAATGTTGCTTGGCCAGTTGGCTTGGATTAGAATTCTTTATTCTTCCTCCTATGAGAATGAGTTAAATCTTGTAGAAGTTGTAGCTCTTAAGTCTAAACTAAAGTGACCAATTTTTTATACATATGGAAATGGAATTATGCAGCTGCAGCCTGATCATGATGCTAAGGCTTTATTTATAATTAGATTAGACATAATTGATCTACCTGGAAGCTCAGCCTCTCAGGCATAATGGCAGACTGGCAGAGCAGCGAGTTTTTTAGGCTCTCCCTCAAGTTCATTTTTGAGTCCTATATGTAGACCAGTAAAGTATCCTGGATTCATGCATTATCATACATAATTGGTTTCAATTGTGAGTAAATGAGGATATTAAAAATGAACTAATTCTAAAAAATCCATGGTTTGTCAGTTGTCACTGTGCAGTAGTAGGAATCTTGCAGCTCTAGACTTCAGGATTGGAATTTTCCTTCTTGATTCTGAAATCTTGCAGCTCCAACCGTCCAACAGGGCAAATTTTTAGTACAATTGGAATCTTGCTGCTTGATTGTACACTTTTGTTAATAATTAGATAGGAGGTATATATAATTCATCTGGTGGAAATCTTGCAGTTCTGGAAATGGTGGGAAAGCTCTAGTTGCAGGCCTTGCAGCCCTAAAGGTAGATGTTTTCCACGCTTGGATCTAGTGTCTAGTGGTGGCTTAAGCCTCAAACCAAGAAATATCTCATTCTCATGCCTGTTGCAGTCAGTGCTGAGTGCTTGGCCTCGGAAAATTTATTAGCGATGTATTTCTTTGTTAATTATTTAGGGGCTTGGGCTATACAACAAAAAATTTGAAAACCGACTCAAAAACAGGATTGAAATTTTCATATTCATTTCAGAAATGTTGCAACCCCAAATATCAAATTTTTCATACATTTGGAATCTTGTTGGTTTATTGTGCACTTGTATTAATAATTAGATTGGAGGAATTCAATTCATCTAGCAGGAATTTTCCTTCTCTGTGTTACAAAAATGGCAGGAAAGCTAGTTGGTGCTAGAAAGGCATATATATTCAATTCTACGCCTCTTGCAGCTTGATTAATTAATAATTAGTACTTGAAGGTTTGCTGAATTTGTTCCTTTGAGCAGGTTTCATTGAAGACCAGAGAATTTGTTTTATTACCAATTTTCTTATTAGTTTATTTAATATATCAAACTATATTTTTTTTCACTGGTGAATCAAAACTGGGGTTACTGATTTTCATATTGCCAACCAATTTTGTACCAATCAATATGGTCAAATCCACTGTAGAGTCTAGAAAGCTCACGCCAATTGTCAGTCCTGAGTTACACTCCTGGTTACATCTACAGTAACATTAAAATCACAAGGAAGGTAATCCACTCAGACCCATTATTTCTCATGTCTTGTCTCCAATTTACAAAACAGCCAAAAGACTGGATACCATAATAAAACTGTATAATCCAAAGCAACTCTTGGTGAAATGTAGATGCAATTTTTTGGAGATCCTCCCTGCTGCATGCCCATCTGGCTTTTTTGCATCACTTGATGTCACCAATGTCCCAACAGAAGAAACATTAGAAATCATTGCAAAGCCTGTATATTCTTGTCCAACTTTGCCAGCTCCACCAATTCCAAAAAATTCTTCTCAATCTCCTTTGTCTCTGCTCTTTTGAATCACCTCTCCGGACAACAAAATTTACCAACAAACCAATGGCTTAGCCATGGTTACTAGTTTTACTGAGTACTATATGTGCAAAATATAAAATTTAGTACTTTCAGATGAACAGATCAAGCCCAAATTGTACTGCAGGTATGTCAATATCTTCATTGTTGTTCAAGACAAAGAACAACTGAGGAATCTACAAATGACATTTGAAATGAATTCTGACTTAAAATTTACTTATGATCTTGGACAAAATTGTACTTTGCCTTCTATAGATATATTCATACAAACTAAAAATAATTAGCTTGTCACCAAAGTATTCTGGAAACCATCAGATTTTGGGAGAGTCCTGAATGTCTCCAGCAAATGCACAGAGCACTACAAAAAAAGCACAATGCATGCTCTCATCCAACAAGCTCTCAAAACCTGCTCATCTAAAAATGACATGAATACAGAGCTGAAAAATTATAAAAGAATCTTAGTCACTAATGGGTTTGCCAATAGAACAATCAACATGTAAATCTAAACTTTGATAACCAAAACAGACTCAACAAGGGACCAAAGACTAACATAAACATCACAACTATCTACTAAGAGAATCAAATGACTAGCCATTATAAGGCAGATGAATGGATCCTCCAATCAATTGTTCACAACAACATTGTAAGCATAACTAATAATAAAATTAAACTACTGATCTATTATAAAATTAGAAAATACAAAATACAAAAACCCGCGCCTCTCTAGTGCGTCAATCTTGGTACTCTGAACTTTAACCACTGGGCCACCCTGCCCAGTGGGGGGCAGGGTATAATATAAAAATAATATAATAAAAGGGGTATAATAATAATAATATAGGGTATAATAATAAAAGTACACAAATAATTAAGAATTGAATAGGAGGTGTATAACTCATCTGGCAGGAATACTTTAGTTGAGGCTTGAGAGGCTGAAATATTCTACTCCTGGCTGCAAATATAAAATTGTTGCCAAACTACAAATATTTCCCTCACTTGACAGCAGCCAAGTTCATTGGTGCTGTTTGCCTCTTTCACTTGCATGAGCTGATGGCTGTGGTTAAAGCCTTAGATCTGTGTAGAGTTTTAATTTTGCAATTTTGAATTTTTTTCAGAATAATTTTTTATGTTTATAACCTTGAGCAATAGAATTCATAAGCCAGCAGCATGATGATGTCAATGGTGGAAAGCAAAGTGGAGGAGAAGAAGGACAGAGCTGGTACTGTGGTTGACAGAGAAAAGGTAATGTAAACAACATTAATTTTGTGTTAATAATTAATATTGTCCATCAATCTTACCATGAACTCTGTAACATTGTTCAGTGTTCAGTAACATTGTTCAGTGTTCAGTAACATTGTTCAGTGTTCAGTAACATTCTTCAAACTTAAATAATGATTTTATTCAGAAAATTTGATAACTGTATTGATACAATAAGCTTTATCACAACAATGAAAAGCCTTATATTGAGTTATCTGTAAATTCTTTTTGCTTTAGATGATCATAAGCAAAAATAATTATTTATTTATTAACATATATCTAGATGTTTATAAAATGTTTTGAAAATGTCATTGATTTTTTTTAACTTTGAAGTTTTTAGCGCATTTTCTCATTTATGGAAAAAAAAACGCTATTGCGCTCGTCATGTCCCTTAGTCTGTCTGTCCATGACTTTCATGGACGAACAAGAAAATGCGCTTTCTGTCACTCACTGCAGTGAGTACTGATCTAATTTTTTTAACTTTGAAGTTTTTAGCGCATTTTCTCATTTATGGAAAAAAAGTGCTATTGTGCTTGTCATGTCCTTCCATCCGTCTGTCCATGACTTTCATGGACAAACAAGAAAATGCGCTTTCTGTCACTCACTGCAGTGAGTCCTGAGTTATATTTTTTCAAACTTTAAAGTTTTTTTCATGTTTCTGCAGACGTGTCCTCTGTTGCTGCGAGTGTTTGTGTGCATGGGCAGACACCACCACATGGCTGAGTACAGACGAGGGGCAACGCCCCCCAATGGTCTGCAGGTCTACACATGGTAATGACTGCTATTTTTCTCTATTTTTCCCTTTGATTGACAAATTCTAACTACATTTAGAAATTTTTTAACTTCTAGAATATTTTCCTTTTATTTTTTACCTTTGATTGACAAATTCTAAGAAAAACTACATTTCGAAATTTTTTATCTGATGGGGCTGGTCTCTGAAATTCTTTTGCAAAAGATATGGTGAATATACTTAGCATTTTTGTTTTTTGCTTTTGAATTCTAGGTGAACTTTGAATTTAAATAGATTAATGATTTTAGTTCTGAATGATTGTAATTAATAGCTCTGTAGTAAGGCTATGACTGTACAGTGTACTATTGATTAGAAGCCAATATAAGCCTATTCTGAAAATGCATTTATGAAACTTGCAGTAATTTTAAAATATCTTGAACACAACTTTAGTGCGTTAGAAAATTTGCTGCACTGTAATTATGATCAGTCTAATTTTCAACTGTGCCCCAAACATGCAAGAAAAAACGTGCACACTTTCTGATGAAATAAAGAAATATGCCAACAGGAGCTAAAACTTTTGAATATAGCAAACACTTTTAAAGACTTTTATACAACCTCCTCTAGTTGTGTGCGTGTATAATACATTTTACATTATTATTAATTAATAATTGAATTACAGGTGTTTTAGTAAAGGTGTCTACATTTTAATCTTTGCTTGGTTGCCTAAAATAATATCTGTTCAAAAATTTGCTTCTCGTTTTTTTTTTATTCTGTTAATTGAGATTTTCTGCAACCAAATGTTGCATTTCCTTCAGAAAACAAGTAAATTATTTGCAGGATGGATGCCACCCTCCAAGATTATTTTAAAAAAAAATTATTATTATTTAAAAAGTTATTATTATATTATATGTATATTATTATATATATTATCCACTTATTACAAAATTATTAATATTATTATTATTATTATTCAAAAAAATTATTATTTAAAATTATTTGCAGGATGGATGCCACTCTCCGAGAACTTGCTGGTCTTGTCCAAGAAATAAATCCCGACACCAAGAGACGAGGCACTCAGTTCGAGTTCGCCCTCGTCTTCCCCGACCTCAACAAAATGCAGGCCCGGCTCAGGGAAATTGGCACCATTGTTGTCGGCCATCAAGGGTTTGAGGACAACAAAACCCTTGCCCAGAGCCAGTAAGTTGCAATATTGGCCTATTGTTGTCGGCCATCAAGGGTTTGAGGACAACAAAACCCTTGCCCAGAGCCAGTAAGTTGCAATATGATTCTAACCTTTTTTCCCCTCTATGAATACCGAGGAAATATTACATTATAGATCACTTCTGTTGTAAGCTATGTCTCGTGAGATTATTTTTGGTCAATAAAAATAGGCTCTAAGAACTGACAATGCCTATGTGGTTATCTCAGTAATATATGTCATCTAAACCTGCCTTTTTAATGCTCATTTACCACACTAATTCTCTCCAGTTTCATCAAGTTAGAATGAGATTTAGGATTTACACATGAAATTATTTTCCAGGCTTGGTTTTAGAAAGTTCTGTTATTCATCTCGATTTTTTCTAAACCAGCCTTCCTTCCCCAACGTTCATAATTGATGTCTTTGCTATGGATAATCGCTGATCTGTAATTAAATGTAATGATTAATGTTCAATAGTTTTTTATATTCAATTACTTTGGTAGTAAGCATGCAGTATTTCATGTTAAAAGCCTATCTTTTTAAAGAAAAATAATTCTACTGAAAGTAAAATATTGCTTTGCGTTTTTTTCTGTCAATATCACGTGAATATTGTATATTGGTTGTGTTATGTATATATATAATAGATGAGCCAATAACCAGGATATGTGAGCTCAGAAAATAGCTGATTTCAGCAGGAGAATTGTTTTTTTATCTAATTATTAGCGCATTTTCTCATCTATGGAAAAAAATGCACTATTATGCTCGCCATGTCCGTCTGTCTGTCTGTCTGTCTGTCTGTCTGTCCGTGACTTCACGTTTTCGTCGACGAGAAAATGCGCTCTCTGTCACTCACTGCGGTGAGTACTGAGTTAAATTATTTATTTTATTTGCAGGTTTTGCATCGGGGACCACTTGGACGTGGCCATCACCTTCCCTGTGAGAGGCCCGCCTGGTCCATCCATGCGCAGACCTATGCGGCCATTCCCCATGTGAGTCCCCCTCATGCATTCCCCATGTGAGTCCCCCTCATGCATTCCCCATGTGAGTCTACCTCATGCATTCCCCATGTGAGTCCCCCTCATGCATTCCCCATGTGAGTCCCCATACAGCATTCCCCATGTAAGTCCCCCTCATGCATTCCCCATGCGAGTCCCCCTCATGCATTCCCCATACAAATCCCCCTAGCACGTAACGTACGTGATTACAATCCTGTTTTAAATCCTATATTAAATATATTATTGATTATATGATATATTTATATATCATATTTATATATGATATATAAATAGGTATATTATTTATATTATTGCTATGTAGTTGTTATAAGTAACATTGAGTGTGTGACTTTCACAAGCTATTTGCTTTGTTATGCCCACTGCCTTTGATAAATGTGTAGACTTGTATAACTACTGTATAATGCACGGATAATTGTATAGACTTGTATAACTACTGTATAATGCACGTATTATCAGTAGATATGTTTTAATCCTGCTGTATAATGCTAGAGTAGTGATAGTATCTTCTGTCCTAAAGGCGGATAATGCGAGTGATTCTTCATTAATAAAATCAAATTAAAACCTGATTTTAAAAGAATTGCTTTTTTTAGTACTTAGAAACAACTAAATGGCCGGTATTACATTTTTTTTATTTAAATTAATGTTAATAAAAACTACAACCTACTAGTCTGATTTTAAAAGAATTGCTTTTCTCAGTACTAAGGAACAACTAAATGGCCAGTATTACATTTTTTTATTTAAATTAATGTTAATAAAAACTACAACCTACTAGTCTGGTTTTAAAAGCATGTTTTTTTTTGTACTTAGAAACAACTTCCTTGCCCAGAGCCAGTAAGTTGCAATATTGGCCTATTGTTGTCGGCCATCAAGGGTTTGAGGACAACAAAACCCTTGCCCAGAGCCAGTAAGTTACAGTATTATTATAATTTTTCCCCTCTATGTATAATGAGAAAATATTACATTATTAATTCATTTTAGTCAATATTTCATTTTAGTCAATTTCATTTTAGTCAATAAAAATATTTAGGTGGATTTAATTTTAGTCAATAAAAATAGGCTCTAAGAACTGACAATGCCTATGTGGTTATCTCAGTAATATATGTCATCTAAACCTGCCTTTTTATGCTCATTTGCCACACTAATCATCTCCAGTTTCATCAAGTTAGAATGAGATTTAGGATTTACACATGACATTATTTTCCTGGCTTGGTTCCAGAAACTTCTGTTATTCATCTTGATTTTTGCCAAGCCAGCCTTCCTTCCGTTATCCTTGTTAATTCATGTCTTTTAAATGCTATGAGTAATTGCTGATCTGTAATTAAATGTAATGATTAATGTTCAATAGTTTTTTATATTGAATTACTTTGGTAGTAAGCATGCAGTATTTCATGTTAAAAGTATATGTTTAAAAGTATTTTTAAACATATACTTATATGTTTAAAATATAGTATATGTTTTCTTTAAAAAATAAAAGTATTTTTAAAGAAAAATGATTCTAGGTGCTGAAAGTAAAACATTTCTTTGCGTTTTTTTCTGTCAATATCACGTGAATATTTTATATTGGTTGTGTTATGTATATATATAATAGATAAGCCAATAACCAGGATATGTGAGCTCAGAAAATAGTTCATTTCAGCAGTTAGTTTGCTATTTATAATAAATTATAAATTTATTATAAATAGCAGATTTATTATATTATATATTATATAATATTATAATATTTATTATTTAAAATAATAAATATTATAATAATAATTATAATTATCATTATAATTATTATTCATTATAATTATAATAAATATGCATGTGTTAATTATTTATTTTACTTGCAGGTTTTGCATCGGGGACCACTTGGACGTGGCCATCACCTTCCCTGTGAGAGGCCCGCCCGGCCCATCCATGCGCAGACCTATGCGGCCATTCCCCATGTGAGTCCCCCTCATGCATTCCCCATGTGAGTCCCCCTCATGCATTCCCCATGTGAGTCCCCCTCATGCATTCCCCATGTGAGTCTCCCTCATGCATTCCCCATGTGAGTCCCCCTCATGCATTCCCCAAGTGAGTCCCCCTCATGCATTCCCCATGTGAGTCCCCCTACAGCATTCCCCATACAAGTCCATCTCATTCATTCCCCATGTGAGTTCCCCTAATTCATTCCCCATGTGAGTTCCCCTAATTCATTCCCCATGTGAGTCCCCCTACAGCATTCCCCATACAAGTCCCCCTAACACGCAACGTACGTGATTATTATGTTATTTTAATCCTATATTAAATATATTATATGATATATTTATATATCATATTTATATATGATATATAAATAATATTGATATTATTGCTATGAAGTTGTTATAACTAACGTTGAGTGTGAGACCTTCACAAGCTATTTGCTTTGTTATGCCCACTGCCTTTGATAATTGTGTAGACTTGTATAACTACTGTATAATGCACGTATTATCAGTAGATATGTTGTATTAATCCTGCTGTATAATGCTATAGTAGTGATAGTATCTTCTGTCCTAAAGGCGGATAATGCGAGTGATACTTCATTAACAAAATCAAATTAAAACCTGATTTTAAAAGAATTGCTTTTTTCAGTACTCAGAAGCTAAATGGCCAGTATTACATTTTTTTATTTAAATAAATGTTAATAAAAACTACAACCTACTAGTTTGATTTTAAAAGCATTGTTTTTTTTTAGTACTTAGAAACTACTAAGTAGCCGGTATTTTAATGCGCTAAATTTTAATGCAAGTTTGTGTAATTTTAATGCGCTAAATTTTAATGCAAGTTTATGTAATTTTAATGTGCTAAATTTTAACGCAAGTTTATGTAATTTTAATGTGCTAAATTTTAATGCAAGTTTATGTAATTTTAATGCGCTAAATTTTAACTCACGTTTATCTGTTCCAGGAACCCGGATTACGACACGTGGAACAACTAGCCTGTAATTACCTTCGAGTTTTAGATTTTGTAAAACTTGTTGGTAATTATGTAGCGTGTCTCCATTAGATCACTCTAGTAAATAAATTAAGTAATCAAGAAAGTTAATCAGTAGTTCAATGTAGTAGCAATTTTGTGTAATAACATGTTGAGCTTTATTCGCTCTATCTGACCAGGCTATTCAAGTTACTGCTTAACAATCAGAAGAAGTGTGAACAATCAGAATTTTGACGCTTACGAGGGTTTATTACATTAAATATAAACTTTTAATGTCTGAACTTCAAGATTAACACATTTAATTTTGTGATGTGGCTGGGAGATTGTTTCAAAATGACGGGTTAATTGATTAAAGATATGGTTTTTTTCTTTAGGGTTTCGAAACCCTATCTTTAAAGATAGGGTTTCGTTTCAAAATGGCGGGTTGCTTGGTTAGGGTCGTTTGTTCAGAGGAGAATCTGATCGTTTCCATTTAGAGGCGCCCGGTATTGCTTTTGGTTGATCTCGTATAAGTTAAAGGACTTCAAGTTCGTTGACATGATTTCGAATTAGCGTTTGTAAGTCCTGAGTTCTAAAGTATTTTTTAGTGAGCCAGTGTCTGCAAATTTAGGTATTCGGTATTATGTACAAGTAGAGATCATTTTCATATAGTAAACCTGAATTTGGTTGAAAACTTAAATCGGATTACCTTATCTATTGTAACCAAAAATATTTTTACTACGTTTTCAAGTACGAGTTTAACGAATGAAAGATAGATGAGTATCAAACGTGCCAGATCTAATACGTTTAATGCACAACTTTTTCGAAAGTACAGGAAGAAATGTTTGAGTTCACTTCGAACTTCTGCTATCTTAGGATTACAATAAGGCGTCAAAAGAGGAGCATTTTATATTCTTATGTCGAAGCCTCTAATTTGAACGTGCTGCTTCTTGCGCGTTTCGAATTTATTTTTGTTCAGAATCTTTATTTTCGTGACCAAAATTTAACATCCAGAAGTATTGGAGTTGAATAGATTAAGTATAGGAGTTGAATCTTGACATAATCTGCATTTTGTTTTCGCCGCGCTAGGCATGTTTGTACGCAACAGAGGTTGACGCCATGAACGAAAGGCGGTAACTAAGTTTGAGGAACAATAAATAAAGAACAACAGCTCTTCACATTTATTCCCTGTTGGCTTGCACGAATTTTGTATTATTATCCCGACTAGGCAAATAATCTGAGTTAACTCATTGGGAGATCAATTTATAGCTTCGAAAGGAACACACCAACATGATTTTCCTTATAGATGCTTGAATCGTACTTCGCAGAAGAGACGAGTAGGGAGGAAGAAAATTTATTTTAATGATTAATTTGTTAACAAATCTCATTTCGTGCAGACCATCAAAATGAATTAAATGACATTCAAAATAAAGCAGTGCTTTCCAGCTAGTGAAATCTAGAAATATCATTCGTAATTTCTAGAAATATCTTAGTAATTTTCAGCATTATTGTCTTCTACATATACGAGTCGCTGGATATGAGAGACAGTTTGACAAGGACTTTCTGTAGGCGCTGTGAACATCAGGTCGCACCTGGACATGGAAATTTCAGGTGTCTCTTTTTCACGTGTGAAGGATATTCATCTTCTAAGAATTTTGCTGCCGTTCACTTGGGTTAAAAATGTCTTCATAGTGACGGCCGGTGAATGAGAGAAAGGAGACCTTGATCACGAGGTAATAGCTAGCCTCATTGGGTTGCATAATATCCGGAAAAATTAAAAGCATTTTGCTCTTGTGAAGTATCCAAATCAATACAAAGGGTTGAAAAATTTTCTTGAATAAATTCTGTTTCCTGTGGACACTGAAGAAGCACAGGTACATCAGGAAGTGAATGTATTATGCTTTGGACCGCACAGTATTTATTTGAATGGAGTCAGTCTTGTGCTCAGGCTAGTCTCTCTTTCGCCATGAGCATTGTGATGCGCATGAGCATCGTGATGCACGAGGGCGCATGAGCATCGTGATGCACGAGGGCGCATGAGCATCGTGATGCACGAGGGCGCATGGGTATCGTGATGCACGAGGGCGCATGGGTATCGTGATGCACGAGGGCGCATGGGTATCGTGATGCACGAGGGTCATGATGCATGAGGGCGCATGAGCATCATGATGCATGAGGGCGCATGAGCATCGTGAATTCAGTAACAATGACAAAAAGAGCAGATTTTTTATAATAGAAAAATTATCTCACATTGCATTTGATGGCAAAGACGATAATAATATAAAATTATATAAATTTTATATTATTATATAATTCAGTAACAATGACAACTAAATTTGTACTGCAACATAGGAGAATGGAAGTTAAATTTCTTAATTTTGTAACAACCATTAAAGTATAAACAACAGCAATTTGAATTTATTCTCATACAAGCAAATTTCACTACGGCAAAAAACACGCACAATAACATTGGAAACTTAATATGAAATATATCTTCCATACTGAATGAAGTCGTCGTGTTTTTTCTTTGCAAAAAAAAAAAAAAAGGTAATTCCGGATAACTGAAATCTGAATATCATTGACAGCACGAACTTATTTGAAAACAAATGCAAATTCACAAAATATATACGAGGAAATTCTAATAAAAAATCCAAAGAGACGACACGAGAGAAGCTTTGAATAAAAATCAAATCTACTATAAGGGCGTGGATAATTCGAAAAAATGCAGCTACCCAGCACTGACAAAATATTGTATTTCAAGATTTAAAAAATTTAAAATTCGAAACTTCTAATCCACTAATAAGTGAACATATACTACTATGAGAGATCTAGATCGTGACGTATTCTCTTATTTTACACCATAAAATAATCAGGACAACTTTCTTATCGAGATGATTCCTCAACTAAACTAATGAAGATTACCAGCACAAAAATGTGCATTGTTAACACGTTGACTACGATTGCTTCATCTTGTACTATTATTTCATTTTTTGTACGTTTTTTAAGCAGGGTTACCAGACGGTCATTTTTTCCGGACAAATTCCGTGATTTAGTTTTTCTCAATTGCGTTGGCCGGCTAAAATTTATGATAGGGGTACTTCCTAATTAAATTTTAAATACTGCAAAAAGAAAATAAATGGAATTTTTATAGCGGAACCTACAAATGAACTAGAATACATTGAGTTATCGGCCTTTTTTGGCCTTTTTTTGTTCTCGGATTTGGCCGATTTTAGGCAACCTGAATTATGTACCACTTCGTCCTGGAGAAATACATTTCGTGGTACGCATATGTACCACTTCGTAGTCAACGTGTTAAAGCAAGGCTAGCACTCCTCATTTCGCGGCGTCTTGAGTGGCGCGGTTTTCTTTGTCGAGTTTTTCAGAAGAAATTGCAAGGTTTTTGCTTATTTTGTCGCAGGATTTCTTGTGGGTTGACCAGTGCAGCTTCTGGCAGTACCTGAACAATCGAATAATATTAAGGTGATTATTATAAAAGTTATAGAGCAAAGGTTCAAGTTAATTAATTAGGTTTAGTTAATGGATAAAATTTAGCTCATCTTGGTCATCAAAATCATCAAGAATTATGACATATAAACTAATAAACTAATAAATAAATATAAACTAATTATGACATATAATAAATCCGTAAACCTAGGACAATAATGAACAATTTAGCACCAAATGCAAACTTCAGGTGATGGAACATTTACTGCTACAAGCTAATCTTTTTTTACTTATATCTTTTATTATACCTATATAATCTTTTATTTATTTACCATGGAAATTGAAGATAAAATCCAATTTGTTATCAATGCAACAAACTTGTAACTTAATGCACAACTCGTGGCCGAAGTGTACACTGAAGGAATGCTAATTTATGACACACTTCTCCTACCTATGACCCACTTGTCACACCCATGATCCACTTGTCGCAGTACTGCACACTCTAATGCTACCCATGACCCACTTGTCCCAGCCATGACCCACTTGTCCCCCCCATGACCCACTTGTCGCAGTACTGCACAGTCCTGCACTTGGCGCAGTGTTTGGTGTCCCTCGTGTCACCCATGACCCACTTGTCCCACCCATGACCCACTTGTCTCAGTCCTACACTTGGCGCAGAGTTTGGTGTCCTTCGTGTCCCCGCAGGAGGCGCAGGACGCGCGGTCCTCAGCGAAGACGCGCTGCCCGTTGATGTCTTGTCCCACCCATGACCCACTTGTCCCAGCCATGACCCACTTGTCCCACCCATGACCCACTTGTCCCCCCCATGACCCACTTGTCCCAGCCATGACCCACTTGTCACAGTACTGTACAGTCCTGCACTTGGCACAGTGTTTGGTGTCCCTCGTGTCCCCGCAGGAGGCGCAGGACGCGCGGTCCTCAGCGAAGACGCGCTGCCCGTTGATGTCTTGTCCCACCCATGACCCACTTGTCCCACCCATGACCCACTTGTCCCCCCCATGACCCACTTGTCCCAGCCATGACCCACTTGTCCCCCCCATGACCCACTTGTCGCAGTACTGCACAGTCCTACACTTGGCACAGTGTTTGGTGTCCTTCGTGTCCCCACAGGAGGCGCAGGACGCGCGGTCCTCAGCGAAGACGCGCTGCCCGTTGATGGCCCCACTGAGCACAGCCAGCGCCTGCACCTCCTGGCCCGCCNCCTGCACCTCCTGGCCTGCCATGTTGCGGGCAACCTGCCATGTTGTTACAACATTAATATGACGAGAGTTGACGTTTGGATGTAACATTGTAACATCAGAGCTTGCGATGTTGCGGGCAACCTGCTATGTTGTTACAACATTAATGTGACAAGAATTTATGTTGGGATGTAACATCAGAACCCTGCGATGTTGCGGGCAACCTACGATGTTGTTAAACATTAATGTGACAAGAATTGATGTAATAATGTAACGTCAAAGACCGTGTACCATGCACTACACAATGATGTTGAAATAAAGCATCACAGCAATGTTCACCTAGTTATTGCTGGAACAACACTGGTAGTATTGTTCCACCCAGCAAACCCCCTTCCACCTAACACTTCCCCTGCAACACTACCTAACGTCCCACCAAGAGATCTAAGAGAGGGGGAGTTCACCCTGGAGACCTTCAAGAGACAACTTTACTAAGGATGTTAACTGTTAACTGTTATCGTATAACTGTTACAGCATCGTGCATCAGGTGGCCAAAATTAGGGCGGATGAACGATAATCAGAGGTGGCGATCCATCGTGGCCTGGGACTGCTACGTACCGAACAGATATTAAGGATACCGACTTGGCTGACAACAAAAGCGTTCCACAATCAAAGTGCTACAGCCAAACTATTGAACGTGTTAAGGAACTTGTTGTTGATGAATGGAGATAGCGATGTGTGGATAGCTTATCAAATGCAAAAATAGTTCAGCAAATCTACTGAACGACTTCACCAGTATTCAATACTTTCATTTTGGCGGAAAAATACAGCTTTGTTGTATGGTTGATTTCGAATATATGGTTTCAGCGTATTAAACACCATATATGTAAGAGCCTAAATTTGTCACCTTTAAAAGGGACAAGGAAACCTTTTTAAATGAACCTTTTTAAAAGGGAAACCATTTAATCTTGTCTGGTGCAGTCAATTGTACTAATGGTAAACTAGTCAAAGCTAAATGTCTTACAATGCTGCGTAAGCGATTTTTTTCAAACAATGAGCTAGTTCTGGATGAGATATATCCCTCTGTCACTCTAATAATGATGGTACTATAAAAATTAAAGTTAAAAATTCAATGAAAAATTAAAGTTAAATTAAATTAGCGTAAAGAAGCTATCCACCAGCAGAGTTGAACCCAACCTTTGGCAAGAGAGATGGGCAGGCATTTGCATACATTATATTAAATATGATTAGATTAATGCATACATATTATTAATTATTACCACATAAATCATAACAAACAACATATACCTGGAGGAACAAAGGCATCTCGAGGCAGTGGAAGGCTTTGACAGCATCACGGACCCAGAGCTCCAGCACGACCTCAGCGCCGTCCCTCGCACGACATCGCAGCCACTGCTTCATTGCCCCCTCCAGACACGGCGGCACCTCTGCTGCTGGGGCTCATTAGTGTCTTGTCTTAATTATCTCATTAGTGTGTTGTAGCGTCAACTATCTCATTAGTGGGTATTGTGTTGATTACACCCCCCTCCAGACACGGCGGCACCTCTGCTGCCGTGGCTCATTAGTGTCTTGTTGTCTTAATTAGCTCATTAGTGTCTTGTTTCAATTACCTCATTAGTGTCTATTTAGTGTCTTGTGTCAATTAGCTCATTAGTGTCTTGTGTCTAACCTAACCTAACCTCCAGACACGGCGGCACCTCTGCTGCTGTGGCTCATTAGTGTCTTGTTGTCTTAATTAGCTCATTAGCGGGTATTGTCGTGGCTCATTAGTGTCTTGTTGTGTTAATTAGCTCATTAGTGGGTATTGTCGTGGCTCATTAGTGTCTTGTTGTCTTAATTAGCTCATTAGTGGGTATTGTCGTGGCTCATTAGTGTCTTGTGGTCTTAATTAGCTCATTAGTGGGTATTGTCGTGGCTCATTAGTGTCTTGTTGTCTTAATTAGCTCATTAGTGTCTTGTTGTCTTAATTATCTCGTTAGTGTGTTGTCGTGTTCACTATCTCATTAGTGGGTATTGTCATGTTAATTATCCCATTAGTGGGTATTGTCATGTTAATTATCTCATTAGTGTGTATTGTCGTGCTAATTACCCATTAGTGAGTATTATCCTCTAATTACCATGAATTTAGGGATTCAGATCACTAAGTTGTTAAGCTCATGCAACTTATCTGTCATTAAGCATAGGTAACATATGGAACCTACACAGGTTATCTCTTATCTTAACTTCCTCTCCTAGTTCGTAATTAATTTATTGCTTATTTCAAGAAAATAAGATTTTTTCTTATTTTTTTGTTATTAAAATTGTTTTCAAGAAAATGGGATCAAATGTTTTTTTTTATTAAAATTGTTAAGTTTCTCTACAATGATTATGATAATTCAGTTATTATTAAGTTAGATTAACTATTTTACTTAGTTTTTACCGTCTTAAATGTCTCATTATTAATTTGTTATATTAACATGAGACAGATAAGACGATTGATATGAGATATGAGACGATAGAAAATGACAAACTGACGAAAAGAAAACATCATATCTTTCAATTTTTTATACACAAATTGTCATTATTATCAAATAAAAAATCACAGTTTATCACAGTTCAAATAAAAAAAAATTTAGTGCCAAAAATACTTTGAATTTTAAGGCAAATGCAGCACTAGAAACTAACCTTGCGGAAAATCAGTGGAGCTCTGATCTTTGTTAGCTTCTTCAACTTTGCTCGCCAGATGCTTGAGAAGATAACCCAGGTAGTGGAACTTCAAGCTTAAAACCTGATACATACTAATTAATTTTTTTATGATTCCCAATAACATTTATCACAGGAGGAACTTCAAACTTAAAACCTTATATATAGTAATTAATTTTTTTATGATTCCCAATAACATTTATCACCGGAGGAACTTCAAACTTAAAACCTTAAACATAATAATTAATTTTTTATGATTCCCAATAATATTTATCACAGGTTGAACTTCAAGCTTAAAACCTGATACATAATAATTAATTGTTTATGATTCCCAATAACATTTATCACAGGTTGAACTTCAAGCTTAAAACCTGATATATAATAATTAATTTTTTATGATTCCCAATAACGTTTATCACAGGAGGAACTTCAAGCTTTAAACCTGAAATACAATAATTTTTCATGATTCCTAATAACATATATCACTGTCTCAGGAACAGCTTTCCAGATGAAAGAAAAATGTAATTGATTAATGGAAATTGTTTTCAAATTGAAAATATTACCTACTTAAATATAAGGAGCGAAAGGTTGTTCCAGAGTTGAGCATATAAATTGTATGCATCACATTTTAGAGAACAAAATTTTTATAAGTTCTTTGGGTCTCCTTCCCATATTGTGGTAGGTACCGGTATAAGGGCTAGGTGTTCACCTCATTCATATTGTGCCCTTTTCGAGTTAGTATAGGTACATGAACAGGGGTGAAACATTTAATGATAGGTGAAGCTTTTCTGATAATTCTAAACCCCTTTGCTGAAGAACATCTATTTAATATTTATTTAATATTGTTCATATTCTTGAAGATGAAGCATATTTAACAGAAAATAAAACACACTAAAACAATTTGAACACAGGTAAACAAAACATGATAATTTATAAATGGTAGAACTAAAACAAATTGAACACAGGTAAACAAAACATGATAATTTATAAATGGTAGAACTAAAACAAATTGAACACAGGTAAACAAAACAGGATAATTTATAAATGGTAGACAAGCCTGACCTCATTAACATTATTGGAGCGTTTAGTTTCAGTAACACTGAGGTGGTCAGGTAAACAAAACATGATAATTTATAAATGGTAGACAAGCCTGACCTCATTAACATTATTGGAGCGTTTAGTTTCAGTAACACTGAGGTGGTCGAGTACGGCTGCAGCAGCCTTAAGGTGCTTCAGCAGCACGGGTGACTTGCACACGCGGAGTGTGAGGTACACAGGATGCAAGTTAAGCTGAAAAATAAAACCAAGTAATTTACATAAAATGAACCCAGTCAAAAATAGGAACTGTAATATTCACTAGAAATACTTACTAGTTTGTGCATTTTCTCATTTATGGAAAAAATGCTCTATTGTGCTTGCCATGTCTGTCTGTCCATCTGTCTGTGACCTCAAGTTTTTGTTGTCGAGAAAATGCGCTCTCTGTCACTCACTGCAGTGAGTACTGAGTTATGTTTTATATTAACTATGCTTATTAAAGGAGGTTTCAATTCAGTGAGCAAATGCATGTTAAAAGGTTAGTGATAAGATTAAAGCCGAGTTAAATACACATGTTCTAATACTGTCAACCATAAATGCATCATAAATAATTAAGCTAAGTTATTTCCATTTTAGCTTTAACAACAAAATCTGGGTGATTATTGATTAGATATTTTTCTTTTAGTATTGGATCGATAGTATTGATGAATAATTCTTATTTTTATCATCAGTCATTCAAACACCTTTAAGAGAAACAAATGTCATTAATGCTAAAAATTGTGTAAGCTATTAACGGCAGGATTTTATGTATAACTTGAATGACAAATTAGTTCCCTCAGTGGTTACAACTGCACTACACCATTAATTTATTTACCAACTCCTACCATGATTTCTGAGTATAAACAATGATTTATTTTTAAAATCACTGAATATTGAACATACCTGCACCATGAGGTCATAAAGAGGTTGTTCAACCTCAGAATCAAGCCTGGTAGTTTTTAATCAGTTCCCCCTAGGCTAAGGGGCATTTTAGTGCTACGTGCAAGAATAAAATCAAAATCATTGAATATTGAACATACCTGCACCATGAGGTCATAAAGAGGTTGTTCAGCCTCTGGGTCAAGCCTGGTAGTCTATAGCTCTGACTCAGGAAGTGATCATTTTCCCCCAGACAGATGGGAATATTAGTGCTACGTTTGAAAATAAAATCAAAATCATTAAATATCAAACGTACCTGCACCATGAGGTCATAAAGAGGTTGTTCAGCCTCTGGGTCAAGCCGGGTAGTCTATAGCTCTGACTCAGGAAGTGATCATTTTCCCCCAGACAGATGGGAATATTAGTGTTACGTGTGAAAATAAAATCAAAATCATTGAATATTGAACATACCTGCACCATGAGATCATAAAGAGGTTGTTCAGCCTCTGCGTCAAGCCTGGTAGTCTATAGCTCTGACTCAGGAAGTGATCATTTTCCCCCAAGCAGCGGGGCATTTTAGTGCTACGTGCAAAAATAAAATCACATGCATTGAATATTAAACATACCTGCACCATGAGATCATAAAGAGGTTGTTCAGCCTCTGGGTCAAGCCGGGTAGTCTATAGCTCTGACTCAGGAAGTGATCATTTTCCTCCAGGCAGAGGGGCATTTTAGTGCTACGTCTAAAAATAAAATCACATGCATTAAATATTGAACATACCTGCACCATGAGATCATAAAGAGGTTGTTCAGCCTCTGGGTCAAGCCTGGTGGTCTGGAGCTCTGACTCAGGATGAGTGTAGCGCCGCAGTTCACTGCGGTCCACATGGTTGTTGATGAGGGCGACACAACTTGACTGGCCCACAAAACCTGCCATTTGAGCAGCTGTTCGGCCCAGGGAGTTGGTCTGGAAATATTTTTTCCTATAATATAGGTAATAAATAACATTTGAAGAAACAAAATGTAGGTACTCTAATTTTTGCTACTCTAATTTTAAAATGTAGGTACTCTAAGCAACCTTAGTCATCCAAGGTACTAGTAATGTTCAGAATAAATATTATCTATAGTATAATTTCTAACTGAATTAGGAAAGTAATAAAATTTTCACATTGAACTTGATATATAAAAGAAATGATGATTATATACATAATCAGAATACAATAGCATTAACTTGCATTTTTTGAAGGATAATTTTAAGAATAAATAATACCTATTTCAGTTATAAACATATCAGAGTTTTTGGCCACATACGTCAATCAACATATAAGGTATGAAAAAAATTTAGCTAGAAACAAAAGATGAAGCAGCTCAGAAGCTCCCAATTCAAGAATTTGGAATTTGTAGCATATTTACTTATATAATATAAATTGTTCAAACAGACCAACATTTTATATCAAAATACCTACCTTACTTCTGTTATGACTCAAAATGCAAGAAAAAAATAAAATGTTCTGTTCATAGATTGTTCTACCTGAGAACAATCTAACTGATTGAACAATGCCAGTACACCAAAATTGCCTTTAATTCTCCTTACTTTGTAAGTTTTAGCTCCATGTTCCAGCAGAAGTTGAACAGTATCCAGGCTACTGGAGAGCGCAGCAAAGTGCAACGGATAGTACGAGTGTGAGTGGCTGTCAGCATTGACATCACTGCCCTGTCAAAGACAATTTAATTAATACATTAGTGAATAAAATCAATACAGTGATTGGCTTAGATGCTATTAAAAATCTACACAATTTAATTATTACACAAGTTAATAAAAGCAATACATTGATTGGCTTAGATGCTATTAAAAATCTACACAATTTAATTATTACAAAAGTTAATAAAAGCAATACAGTGATTGGCTTAGATGCTATTAAAAATCTAGACAATTTAATTATTACAAAAGTTAATAAAAGCAATACAGTGATTGGCTTAGATGCTATTAAAAATCTAGACAATTTAATTATTACACAAGTTCATAGAAGCAATACAGTGATTGGCTTAGATGCTATTAAAAATCTATACAATTTAATTATTACACAAGTTCATGAAAGCAATACAGTGATTAGCTTAGATGCGATTAAAAATCTAGACAATTTAATTATTACACAAGTCATAGGAGCAATACAGTGATTGGCTTAGATGCTATTAAAAATCTAATGGCTTTGATAATTTGATTGGAAGTAAATACTTCATAGATCTTGTGTGCTCAAAGGTGGCCTGTGAGCAAGAGGTTTGAAGAAAAATTTAACTTTATACTAAAATATGGCAGCTTCAACATCATGAAATTTTGGCAAAGGTGAAGCTATCAACTTATCAAGCAGTTTAAACTAAAAATAGATAGGACTTGACTGTAGGAGTTAATTTATCTGGCACTGGCATCAACATTATCAGTTCAAATATGTGAATAACTGAATTATAGTAACATAGTATATCATGTATGATGTAGCCTACCTATATGATAATTTGGTAAATCTTTCATGCAATTTTCAGAACTGCATGATTGTAATCCAATGATTTCTCTAACACTCAATTGTTAAAGAAACAGCATAATGTAGCTGAGAGATTTCAAGTTTACCGAAAGTATGAAACCTAAATGCCATTTTTTATAGTAGCTAGAGAATGATGTGTCAACTGTCATTTGTCAATATTATAATATGTGTCATGATGACTGTGTCATGATGATTGTGTCATGATGATTTATTGATTAGGGAAAATTAGAGAGGAAAAATGCACAAAAATATGGGAAATATAATCAGAATCTTATATACCTGTTTTATTAGCATCTTGCACATGTCTGTGAAGCCTTTGTAAGCAGCATGCATTAAACCTGTCATTCCTGTGCTGTCAGTATCATGGACAGTCGCTTCACCACGAATAAGTAAATTTTCTGCTCCATTAACATCATTGGCTATCACAAGTTTAATTAATTTAGGAGCATTTTCGATAATATCATCTTTAGATGAAGATTTAACATCACTGGTATCGGGATTTGCCATGTTTTAATATTTCAATCGTGGTTTAAAATAAAACTTGCAAAGTTGCTTCTATGACTATGGGTATGGGCGACACCGCGACACTTCAACCAACATTAGAATAATCTGGAACCGTTTGCGATACTAGCGGAGAACGGTCAACACATCCTTCACTGCGGATTTGTAAACTATGGTCCGCTTAAATATAAAAAAGTTATGACCGCATTTAGTTGCTTTATTCTGATATTTATTGAAGCGTTAAAAGTTAGGAGGTATGGGAGGATTTAAATTCAATATTTGATTTTTATCATTTGCACAGAGTATTTTGGATTAATTTATGTGAAGGTAAGATTACAGTATGAGAAGACATGGTTGCAACGAGAGAGTAATGATTGAAAAGTCTAGTGTGCCAAAAGATCTCGTAGTTTATATCGACAAGGAGCTGAAATTTTCTAAGCATGTTGAAACGCAAGCTAACACACCTAACAAACTTCTTGGACTAATCAGACGCTCATACGAGTTCCTAGATGCAGAAGCGACGAAGCAGTTGTTTGTTGCCGTCGTGCGCTCGAATATAGAGTTTGAAAACGTTCTGTGGTCACCGATATTTGAAAAGGACCAAAAATTTAATGGAGAATGTTCAAAGCCGTGCAACAAGGATAATTCCAGGCTTGAAGAGCAAGTCCTATGAAGAAAGATTGAAGATTATGAAGCTTCCAAGCCTCAGTTATCGACGTCTGCGTGGGGACCTCATTGAAGTATACAAGTATACAACCAACACCAGGGGCCACGGCTATAAGCTAAAAAACTGCGCTGCAACTTCTCCACGCGACAAAATTTCTTCTCGCTTCGAATCACCGACATGTGGAACAGCCTCCCCGATGACATCGTTGGCGCTCCAAGTATCAACGCGTTCAAGAATGTCAGTCATGAAAAGATCCGGTCAAATGACACGAGTTTAGATCTATGAACAAGGCACGAAAAGGAAAAGAATCGGCGACAGGCCACATCAGGCCTACACTTCGGCGCCGACATCACTATGTTATGTTATGTTATGTTATGTTAAACAATGCAAAGTTGGAGCAGTATATTTGAGACCGCAACAATCTGCAAAAAAATTCTGCTACGTTCAAAATCACTGACAGATCTAATGCCTAATCAACCCTGACACCGCCATCACTATCACAACAACTTCAAATCGAGAAGTTATGCTAGATGAAAATGAAATACCACATAGACATTTAACAGAGCTAGGTGAAAATGGGGTGAACTATAGGATGTAATATACAAGGAGGGAACTTTTAATTTCCCGAACTTTTTCTTCACCAGAGGAGGCAATCGTGTAAAACGGTTGACACAAATATATGTAGCAATAAAAAATCAGTCTGTACAAACAAATAAATAAAAATTGTATAGAAATCCCTAAATTACTTACTACCAGTCTTAGTAATGCCACGATTTCACGTTAATTATTACTAAAGACTTTCAATTACTTCAGTCCATTTATATAATGTCACAGGTTTCGGGTCTTCAAAAATGATTTAGTGACTCATTGAGGAATTAATAATAATTTTGTAACATTGGATTGAAAAAAATGTGTGATATGATTATAAAATGAAAATGATTATGAAAAAAAAATGATTATATATGATTGAAAAACATATGCAATTATCCCCAGCACTATACCGCCCCAACGTCTGCTAGCGGCTCTCGCTAAGGCTTTATATTGTTATTATTAATAATATTATTGTTATATTTTTCGATTAGGCCTTTATTTAAGATAACACGGGTCACGTTTATTTAAGATAACACGGGTCACGTTTATTTAAGATAACACGGGTCACGTTTATTTAAGATAACACGGACCATGTTTATTTAAGATAACACGGACCACGTTTATTTAAGATAACACGGACCATGTTTATTTAAGATAACACGGACCATGTTTATTTAAGATAACACTGACCACGTTTATTTAAGATAACACGGGTCACGTTTATTTAAGATAACACGAGTCAAGTTTTTAAGATAACACGGGTCACGTTTATTTAAGATAACACGAGTTACGCTTATTTAAGATAACACGAGTCACGTTTATTAAAGATAACACGGACCATGTTTATTTAAGATAACACGAGTCATGTTTATTTAAGATAACATGGTTCACATTTACTTAAGATAATACGGACCACGTTTATTTACGAAAACACGGGCCTCGTTTATTTAAGATAACACGGGTAAAGTTTATTTAAGATAACACGGGTAAAGTTTATTTAAGATAACACGGGTCACGTTCAGTTTCGTATATTCTGCAAATCTATTCTCAGGAAATTAATTTTCTTGCCGTTAATTTCAGGTATTTCAGGTAATATTTTTATTTCAGGTATTTTTATTTCAGGTAATGTTTTTATTTCACGTAATATTTTTATTTCAGGAAATATTTTTATTTCAGGTACCAATATTTTTATTTCAGATAATATTTTTATTTCAGGTAATATTTTTATTTCAGGTGATATTTTTATTTCAGGTAATATTTTTATTTCAGGCGATATTTTTATTTCAGGTTATATTTTTATTTCAGGTGATATTTTTATTTCAGGTAATATTTTTATTTCAGGTAATATTTTAATTTCAGATAATATTTTCATTTCAGGTTATGTTTTTATTTCAGGTGATATTTTTATTTCAGGTGATATTTTTATTTCAGGTGATATTTTTATTTCAGGTAATATTTTTATTTCTGGTAATATTTTTATTTAAGGTAATATTTTTATTTCAGGTTATATTTTTATTTCAGGTAATATTTTTATTTCAGGTGATATTTTTATTTCAGGTAATATTTTTATTTCAGATAATATTTTTATTTCAGGTAATATTTTTATTTCTGGTAATATTTTTATTTAAGGTAATATTTTTATTTCAGGTTATATTTTTATTTCAGGTAATATTTTTATTTCAGGTGATATTTTTATTTCAGGTAATATTTTTATTTCAGATAATATTTTTATTGCATGCAATATTTTTATTTCAGGTAATATTTTTATTTCACGTAATATTTAGAACAGAAATAAGATAGTTGAACAAAAGAAAGGAGGGCAGCGTGGAGGGAAATGGAAGTGGAGGGCTGAGTGCAGCTATCTGGTAGAAAAGAATAAAAAATTACGAAATTACGATCAAATGCATCAGGGCGCTGTGGAAAAAACACATGTTGGGCAGTGCCATAAATCAAACAATATTCGACATCTTGAATCTCTGTTTTGTTTTCATTTTTGCTTCGCATGACGAATATTTCTTCTGAACGAGAACATCAAACGCGTCCATATTATTAGCCTCGATCGACTCAATATAATGAAGCTAGACTTGCACTCATTGTCTGTATTAAGACTAGAACTAGGAAGATAGATATCTTTCTAGTTGAGCCACAGGCTCAAGGTATCGAGCCACATTAGAATTAAGAAGATATCCGTGTGAAGGTATTGAGCCACATTAGTCTAAGTAATTGTTGACCATTTCTCAAGAGGGCAAAGAGGTCATCTTTGATGATTAAAAGAGACCGGAAGCGAAAAGGTTGTTGGTGTATAGCAGTGATGCAGCTGTATAGTGTAGTAATCAAATCTAGCAGCAGTGGTGCAGCAAAATTAAATCTAGCAGTAGTTATGCAGCAATAATAATGCAGCTATCACAGTACAGCAATAAACCTCTTCCAATAATCGAGGGCTGAACTATAGACTGATGGCTGACACTCATCATGTCTGCTGATCGCATTAGTCATGATGTTACTCATGTCAATTCTCTATAATGCATGAAGCCATCATTATTGTCATGAAGCGAACAACCTGGGACTGATTGTCTCCCTTTAGCTTAATGTTCTCAATTATTTATCTCTATATAAGATGGTGAAATATTTTGGGTACTCTATTTCTCTCTGTATTATCTCAGTAATTTTTCTCTATATTGTTTGTAATACATTATTTATAGCATAATGACTGTAATGCCACATAACGTTGATAATTTATTGCGCCACAGTAATTCTATAAATTTATTCAGTAAGAATTTCTAGAAATTATTCATACAATTTCCTCAGGACGCATGACTATAATATTGCATAACCTAATTAGAATATATCCAGTGAATACTTTTTATTATTGAAGAAATTCTACGTTTTTTTCTTATACAAAATTGAATACTCTTGGAAAAAGATGGAGATCGTTTTTTGAACTAATTCTTGGGATTGATTTAATGCATATTTATGATTTTATTTTCGTCACTTTTTGAATGTTTGGCGGATACCTGCTAAGAAAAACATCAACACGGTTTGAAATAAAAATACGAGTTGAAAAAAAACATCAACACGGGTTAAAATAAAAATACGAGTTGAAAAACCAACACATGTTGAAGTAAAAATACGAGTTGAAAAAACAACACATGCTGAAGTAAAAATACGAGTTGAAAAAGCAACACATCTTGAAGTGGAAATATGAGTTGAAAAAACAACACGTGTTGATGTAAAAATACGAGTTGAATTAAGAAAAACAAGTGTTTAAGTACAAACTTTATTAAGGAAATAAAATTCGTGTTGAAAAAATGAAGCACCTGCTTAAATAAAAATTCGAGTTGAAGAATACGAGTTGAAGAATAAGAGTTGAAGAATACGAGTTGAAGAATACGAGTTGAAGAATACGAGTTGAAGAATACGAGTTGAAGAATACGAGTTGAAGAATACGAGTTGAAGCTCTGTACCTCTGATACTTGGTGCACCAGTACAACTGTACTCTGTAGCTCTGTACCCCTGATTCTTGCTGTACCAGTACAACTGTACTCTGTAGCTCTGTACCCCTGATACTTGGTGCACCAGTACAACTGTACTCTGTAGCTCTGTACCTCTACCAGTACAACTGTACTCTGTAGCTCTGTACCCCTGATTCTTGCTGTACCAGTACAACTGTACTCTGTAGCTCTGTACCTCCTAAACTTGGTATAAATTCTCATGATTGTAAAGAATGGCCAACTCGCGGTGTCATTTTCGCGAGTCCCGAACTTGTGCAAAAAGATTTGCACGCGATACAAGCAAGCCACACAAAGAAGAAATTTTTACCTCAATAATTTATTCGGAACTGTTAT